TCAGAGCCCAACTCTGCCTCTTGTTAGCTATGCCACTGGGCAACCTACTGGCTCTCTCAGTCCCATGACCTTACCAGTAACATGGTGAAGATGAGGATAACAATAGTGCCTACCTGCTGGGGTCACTGTAAAGATTTATTGAGGACGTGCATAAAATGCTTAGGATGCTCAGTGCCTGCCATCAATGAATATGATCTGTTTTTCTTGCTGTAGTCAAAACTACCCAATGCCCATCCTGCTGATGTAATTCCACTTTCTGCTTGATAACAGCCATGATTCAGGAAGGAGTGAACACTGGTTGACTGGTCACATGCTGACTAACCTAAGAAATGTAGGAGTCAGCTAAGCATTAGAATGCCCAGGCAGCCAGGGTTGGGTCTTCTCCACTTGACACACACACACACTGTCCTCTGCTCTGATGGGACCAGAGACCGCATCAACAGGGCTCCCCAGGCTTCCAGGTGGATTTGGATAAAGGGAAAGCATTTCTTTCCCTCTTCCTTTTACCTTGCCAGTTTGGCAGTAGCTGTATCCCTTCAGGATCATGGCTATTTTGGGGGGCCCCTTCTCTAGAGTTCCCTCCTCCCAGCCTAGGGGAGGTAGGTAACAGCTTCCCACTATGGCCAGCCCTAGGGTGCCCCTTATCCTTTGGCTTGTCTAACTCTGATCTCACTTCTCTAAATACTCTTCATTAAAGTCTCTCCAGCTAAACCCTTGGCATGTGCCAGCCATCTCATGCAGCCCTGTCTCATGCTCACTTCCCTCCTCCCCACAGAGGCAGAATGTAAATGGCAGTGTTCACGATGGAAGCACCAATGCCTTTTGCCCATGAGCAATCATATGGGAATTTAACATCCTTAGGAATCTGGGTAAAACCCAAGAGGCTCAGGGAAAAGCAACTCTCCTAGCCCAGGCAGGGTATATTCAAAGGCCCTGTGCTCCTCCACATCCATCATACAGTGGAGCCTCTCTGGATGTGCCCCTCCAAATCCATCACACAACGGAGCTACAACAAAGTGACAGCATCTAGATTAGCGCCTGACACACAGTAGGCACTCAATAACTATGTGTTCATGCAGGTCCTCTGACTAAGGATGGAAGTCTGAAATCTAAGAGGTCATTCAGGAAAGGATACTCCATGGAAGCCTCAACTGCATGCTTGGGTAAGCAAGCATGGGTTGCTTGGGTAAAATTTACCCTGGAGATGCCCTTTGTTCATCATCTCACGTGACAGGAAGCTCTGCGATACCCCCGTGTGTGGGCAGCAGGCTTCAGACGTCAGTCCCTCACACCACAAATGCTATTCTCTTATCTCTTATCAAATCATTCCTAAGACTTGTAATCTCCCCAGCATCTCTCTTACTGATTCTGTTACTCCCCACTCCCTCGAAGGACCAAACACAGTCATGGTTCAGTGCAGTTCAAGAGCATTTAAGTGATGGGGCACCTGGCTGGCTCAGTCGGTTAAGCATCCAACTCTTGATTTCAGCTCAGGTCACGATCTCAGGGTTTTGAGATCAAGCCCACCGTTGGGCTCGGTGCTGGGTGTGGAGTCTGCTTCAGATTCTCTCCCTCTCCATCTGCCCCTCCTGCCCATGCTCTCTCTCTCAAATAAATAAATCTTTAAAAAAAAAACACCACACATTTAAGTGCTTACCATGTACAAGCACTGTGTCAGGCATTGTAGATCCCAAGATGATTTATTTTTTAAAGATTTTATTTATTTGACACAGTAAGAGAGGGAGAGAGAGAGCACAAGTAAGGGGAGGGCCAGAGGGAGAGAGAGAAACACACTCCCTGGATGAGCAGGGAGCCCGATGCAGGACTCGATCCCAGGATCCTGAGATCATGACCTGAGCCAACGCTTAACCGACTGAGCCACCCAGGCGCCCCGAAGATCCAAAGATGATTAAGAGAAAGATCTCAGAATCCAAGAGCCACAAAAAATATGAAGAAAGAGTGTTTAATACTGACTAAAGGGGATTCTCAAAGAGCTAGAGCTTGAGCTACACTGGGTCCTGAATGATGGGGCTATGACAACGGGGACAGAGGGGAAGGCAGCAGGATATGTGAGAGGGACAGGGGAGGAGGAGTATCCCTGGGCAAGGACAAACAGGACTGAATCGATAGGGACAAGAGCAGAAGCGCTAGGCAAGGGGTTTGTCTCAAATTGGGACCATCTGATTCAAGAACCAAGCACATTAACAAAGCAGAAATGAGACCTGACTGGAAAGATGTCTTCCCCACCCAGCGGTCCTCCACAAATTGTCCCCTTACCCTCCCCTCCACCCCCCAGCTGGGAAAACAATAAAGGAAGCTGGAGGTCCTGGGGCAGAGACCCTTGTCCTGAAGGGATGTTTCTCAGCCTGCCACTCCCCCACTGCTAGCCTGGCCCTGCCTTGGGGTCAGCCGGCTCGGTGGGCAGAAAGGGCACCTGGCCACCCCTGGCTCCAGAGCCACTGAGCACCCCGACCCCATGAAAATGAACAACCTTCCACACTCGGCTTGCTCTTACTTGGAATTCTAAAATTAAATGTTCACTCCTCTTACCTAAAAGCTTTCTCCCTTTATAAGCTAATATGCAAATACCTTGGATGAGGGCTAAGTCTTAGCAGCCACAGATCCGCTTAGCATGAATGCTTCCAGACGATCTTTCCTGGAAAACAGGCTTTGTATGAGGGATGCCCAAGAGATTATCTGTGGCTGAAGGGGAGGCAGGAAGAAGAGGGAGGGGCCCATGGAAGGAGAGAAGGCCGCTCTTGCGCTGAACCCACAAAACCCACCAAGGGCAGAGGGTAGAGAGTTCAAGTCCAAGCCTTCAAAAGACCTTTATTTTCATGTTTTTTAAGAAACTGAGATATAACTCATGAACTGTAAAATTTACCCTTTAAACTGCACAGTTCAGTGGTCTTTTAGCATAGTCACGAGGTTGTCCAACCTTCGCCACTAACTTCAGGATTATTTTCATCACCCCCCAAAAAACCCCCATACCCACTAGCCATCACTCCCCACCCCTCTTCCCCTGGCAACCACTTTCTGTTTCTATGGACTCGCCCATTCTGGACATTTCCTATAAATGAAACCATACAATATGTGGCCTTTTGTGTCCAGCTTCTTGCGCTTAACATGATGTTTCCTGGGTTCCTCTGTGTTGTAGCACACACCAGTACTCCATCCCTGATTATGGCTAAATCATACTCCACTGTACAGATATACCACATTTTGTTTATCCATCAAAGGACTTTAAAGGGCAAAGCAAATGATGCATCTGCAGAAAGGAGCTTCCAGTATCCTTGGGGCTGCTTGGGCAATGCAACCATTTCTAAACCATCGTCCTCTGAGCCTCCCACCGGCACCCAAGGACACTGCCCAAACCCTCCCCACTATACACACATGATTTCCCAAACACAGAGTGCCTCAGGCCAGAAGCTATGAATCTCACCACAGGCCATGACAGCGACACCTCAAATTCCTTCTGAGGAAACTTGTCGTGACCCGTCAAATGTGTTTTATACATCTCTATGGTCCTGGGAATGGAAGATGGAAGAGCAGAGCCAGCCACAAGGGCATGTGACCGGTGTAGGTTTAGAGGGCCCCACAGTTGACTGAATGCACTACTGTCGCCATCTTGAAAGTCTTCATCTTTAAACAAGGGGCCCTGCATTTTCATTTTGCGCTGGGCCCAGCAAAGTATGTAGCTGGTCCCGGGCAAGAGGCTGGGGTTTGGTAGGGGGTTGAAACTTGACAGTCTCCCCAAAGAGACTGCTGTATGACAGCAGCTTACGGAGTCAGGTTGGGGTGCCGGGGAGAGAGACGGCAGATAAATGGGGAAGAGGTGCCAGATCTACATGGGTGCTGAAAACCCAGTGTCCAAACTGCCCAAGACCAAGCCTTCCTACGCTGACGGCTGAGCAGCTGGCTGATAAAAAGCCGCCCCGGAACAGCCCGACTAGTTGAAAGTAAACGTGGTAAGTCAACGCCGTACAGACTCAGACTGTAAAGCAGGGGGACTCAAACTGAAACTTGTTTGATCTTGTAATCGCTTACAGGTTAAGACCAAGAAGAAGAAAGAAAAAAAAACCCCACACTTACTACAGTAACTGGCACTGAGAACACTTTTTAACATTTACTTTTTTTTTTTTTTAACTGTCACCTCTATTTCCAGCATTATCAAGGAAGTCATGGTTTCACCAAAAACCCGGTATTCGATCCAAAGAGCGTCAGAGTACTGCTGTCAGTATGGAGGGGAGCCTTAGGAACAACCCATCCGCATGAATCCCCAGGAGCCTTGACCCCCCTCCGCCAGGTTCAGTCCAATTCTTTTATTTTATAGATGAGGAAGCTAAGCTGTGAGAGAGGAAGTAACTAGCCAAGGCCACCCACAAAAAGAGGCAGGACCAGAACCCGGGAGCTTTCAGCTTCCCCTTCCAACCTCCCAGCTTCATGAGTCCAACCAAAATTCATATATTGGGTGCATGCGTCCTGGCCCCCAATCTGCTCCTGGATCCTCAACACAAATCTTGGGGTACTTGTCTTTGTCCTTGCGAAAAGGGAGTCTCTCTGGTCGTGCAGCTAAGTTTAAGACTTATAAGCCCCAAGGGAGAAGAGGCAGCTTCCTTCCACCAGCACCATCTCTGTTCCATCATTTGGCAAAAGGCGAGAAGCGCTCCAGGGGAGGGGTCACAGCCTTTCCAAGTCCAGGGCATTTATAAACACTTTTTTTTTTTTTTTTCTGGGAAGGGTGAAGTTTAACCTAGTTTTTTCTAGTTAAAAGGATAATGCAAGGTGGATGGAGTGAGGGGGCAACAGGGACTGCGGCTAGCCACACCCAAGACGCAGGTCCAGATGGCCCCCGGAAGGTGATGGGCTCTCTGCCACCCATCAGGTCTTTTTTTTTTTTGGCCTAACCAAATCAAACCAACCTTAACATCAAGTGATTTCAATTTGTGTTTTATACTCCCTCCTTCCCTCCTTTGAACGAATAGATATTAAGCACTTACTGTGTGTCCCACATGTTCTGGTTGCTGGGCACAAAGCAGAGAAGAAAACAGACCATGTTTCGGTATTTACATTCTAAAGGGAGGAAATGAGGAAGAATTAGGAAATAAATGAATACATGCCATTTAAGATGGTGACAAGTGCTCTGGAGAAAAGTAAAGCAGGATAAGAGAGATAGAGAATGGTAGGGAAGGAAGGCATTGTATCTAGGATGGTCAGGTTGGGGCTCTCCGAAAGAGGCAGAGAAGTGAGTCATCTGGGGAAGATATTCCAGGCGAAAGGATCAGCAAATGCAAAGGCCCTGAGGTGGAAATGTCCTGGGATGTTCAAGGAACAATCAGAAGTCTAGTGTGGCATGAATGAGAAGCTAAGTGGCAGACAGAGAGGCAGGGGGATGGGAGCCAGATCAGGCCAGCCCTGAAGCCACAGAAACACCTTTGGTTTTACTCCAAGTGGGATGGGGGTACACAGGCTCGGAGCAGGGGGAATAAGTGACCTGGCATAGGCTTTACCAGGACTTCCCTGATTGCTGTTGTTACCAGGCCTCTTCTCTAAGGATCAGATTCAGGAGCTAGGCCATAAGCCCAGCACAACCTCTAAGCAACCTTGAGAAAAACACTTCCCTTCTCTGGGCCTCCACATTCTCCTCTGTGAAATGGGAAGATAAGACTAGATGATGTCTAACGTCCTTTCTAGGATATTCTTATTTTTTTTTACCTTAAAACAGATTGTCTAAAGGGTCTCCAAGTCTCACCCTGTGACTCAGGAGAAGGCAAGGGACTGCAGCCAAGTTTTGGAAGCCCCTAGTCACTCTGCACTGCCTCCCCTGCCCCAAGCCAAATTCTCACCCAGCAAAAAGCACAGCTCTCTAGGGAGAGAGGTCCAGCCCAGGAAGCAGCCACGTCAGCAACGGCCTCTAAAGATTACAAAGGGTGACCACTAAAGATAGCGCAGCCTCCACATGTTTCGGGGTGGGGCTGGGCAGGCAGAGGCCGGTAAAAGCGGCTGCTACGGCCCAATCAAAGGGTACTGCTGAATCTGCCTCTTCCCCGGGCTGCCGTGGTCTCTCCTATCTCCCCCACTTCTATCGTGGACAGAGAAGAAGGCTATGGGGTTAAGAACTGCTCCATCCTGCCCATTTCTTTGAGGGTTCTGTCTGCATCACACATCATCAAACCGGGTCAGAAAGCAAGATTCAGGTCTCCTCCACCAGGCCAGATATAGATAAGCAGGGTTTCTCTCTCCTCCAACAGACTGGGAGCTCCCCGAGAATATGAGCTATCTCACCATCAGACTGCGAATTCATCCTATGCCTCCTCCATTAGACTGGGGACTCCATGAGGGTCGGGGGCTGTATTTCCCTCAAGAGATTGGGAGTACCTGCTGTCAGGGGCTGAGCCACCTCAATGGGACTAGAAGCTCCCCAGGGACAGGGTTTCTGTGCCACTCTCCCTCTATTACCCCACTGTATCCCGGAAGTCTTCGGTAGGTTTTGTGAGTTCTTAAAAGAAGATGCTGATTGAAGCACTCAGAGTGAACCACCCAACCCAGGCACAAACTCTTGTGATCTCCCGCCATTGAAAGATCCATGAAAACTATGTGGATACGAACCTTCAAAGTGAATATAAAGAAAACAAAATGAGAACTTGGCTTCACCCGACAACACTTTGGCAGACTGTTTATAAGTTCTGGCCAAAGCCTGTCCGCATTTTATAAATAACCCTTTCTGGTGACTGTGGCTGAGGCCAAGCTGAAATGCACCTTGAGGACCAAGAGCAGCGAGCTCACGAGCCCAGGCCTGACCGAAGCCAAGTCCTTCATGGGAGGGAAGTCCACGGCCCAGATACAAACTTCCTCTCAGCTTCCAACTTGGGCTTTTCCAAGGCAGTCACACCAGGTGATGGGGTGGGAGACAGGAAATTGGCCACGGGAATCGGAATCAGGAGAGTGAAATGAGGAGACCCATCTCAGAGAGGCAGGCCCAAGCCTTCCTCGATGGAGGTCAGGGATGGGCGGACAGAGATGGAGACGGAGAGCACAAGGCTGGCTCAGTAAAGCTCCTGGCGCCTCCTGGGAGAAGCAGAGCCCTCCTCAGACACGGCGAGGGGCACTCATGTTCATGTGGACTTGGGGAAGCCACCAAAGGCATCCTGGGAATCAAGTATGCTGGCTCATCTTAGCAAAGGGTTTCCACAGAACTGCAGAGTAGGGGCAGGAAGGTTGGAACCTCCGAGGGCTGAAGCCAATAATCACAATCACAATAATACTAATGGCGAACACGAACAGGTACTGTGCGGAGTACTCTCCGTATACTAACTCAGTTCATCTTCCTAGTCGTGCTAATACTGCTCCCTTTTTACCGAAGAGGCAACCGAGGCCGGCCCAAAGTTGCACCTGGGTGAGGAATAAAGATTTCAACTGGGCAGGTGGCCTCCCCAACAGGGGCTTTCAGTGCCCTCCCTCTCTGAAAACAATGAGGAAAATCCTAGGGTATTTCTGCTGGTTCCTCTGAACCTCCGGGGTTGAGGGCCACGCGCAACAGGCATGCTGAGGGCTGGGGGGACTCAGACAGAGCCCAGCAGGGTCCCAGTGCCGCCCTCCCACTGTGCTGAGCACCCGGAGATCTGAAAATGCCATCATGTTGGCATCCAGGTCCCTCTCCTCTCAGGGGTCTCGGGTTTAAAAGTTCTGCGCCCCCGCCCTCCACTTTTTATGTGCAGGGACGCACAGGGCAAAGAGCAATGGCAGTAAGAAAGGACGACGGTAGTGACAGGTCTCTGCTCCCACTGAATCCCACAGGGAGTCCAAAACCTCAGGAAACATAGGATTGACTTCTTTTTAAACAGTGTGCTAGTCACATTTTCAAATCAAATTCTCCATGTTCTTCAACCTCCACACCTTTTCGGGTGAAGTTCATCTAAATGTAACACTACAGAAGGTCCAAACTGTCTGAAAACTGAAGGAAAGAGTTTTTTGGGGTTTGTTTTCGTTTTTTTTTCCCCAGATTTACCACTGGACCCTGTTGCTTTACGAGGGCTTTCCTTGTACTGACATTATTGGCATTTCGGGCTGGAAATTCTCTGCTGCGGGGGCCGTCCTGTGCATTGCAGAATGTTTAGCAGCATCCCTGGTCTCCACCCACTTGATGCCCCTGGCTTTCTCCTTCCCCCCGCCCCCTGTCCCCAAATGTGACAACCAAAAATGTCTCTAGACACTCCCTGGGGTAAGGGCAGGAGGGTGGTGCAGAAATCGTTCTTGGTTGAGAAACTCCGCTTTAGGTTTAGATAAACCTCCTCTGGAAAGGTGTCTGAAGGCTGAAAAATAAAACCATATTAAAGCACAGTACTGAAAATGTGACTGACATACTACTTAAAATTAAGTGTATCCTATTTTCCCTGACTTCTCAGACACCACGTATTTGAAAATTTTCAGTGCAGTTGCAATGCCTCTTTCCTTGCCTAAACGCAAATAGTCAGCACCCCAAGTCTCAGTATGCCACTCCTCCCCCTCCCAACCCTGGCCTCCCCGGTCTCATTCATGTCCAACCCCAAAACCAATCCAGCCGCACATGGCCAACTTGCTGTCTGCTGAGTCAGACTTCTGCAGGAGCGCAACGGGGATGCCACCAGAAACCGCTAGGCTCAGGGACTCCAGCAGCCTCAGAGGCAACAGTGGCCACACCCAAGAAAATGGACCCATCTTCATCACTAGCATGGTGGACCCATCCTACTCCCCAAAGCCTCATTTGAATGCGTGCCTCGTCGGCCTCGGCCCCCAGGAGTGAGCTCCACCAAGTACAGGAATGGGTCAAACAGATACTGAATCTAAAAGATGATGAAATTTCGATCAACAACCTGATGGAAAAACGAGCAACAGATATGAATTAAAAGGAAAGGAAATACAAATGGATCTTAAACCTGTGAAAAGTGTTCGACCGCACTCATAAAAGCAGCGCAAATTAAAACTGAGATACCAATTTTCATCTATCAGGTCGGCAAAGATCAAAAACTTTGATAACTCACTGTGTTGGCGAGGATGTCTCATTCATGTAAATCGCTACGAACTCCTTGAAAGGATCCTTGCAACGTCTACCAGTATCACAGACACACACACACACACACACACACACACGCTTTTACCAGCAACTCTGCTTCTAAGAATTTCTTCTGCAGACATATTCCTACATATGCAAAATGGCGTGTATACAAGGACACTACAGCAGTGCCATTTGAAATGACAAAGGACTAGAAACAGCTTCAATGTCCACTGCTGGGGAATTGCTTTAATACGTCGTGGCTCATCCATAAAATGGAACACTATGCAGTTATAAAACACAATGAAGGTATTCTCTTATGTCATCATGTGGACTACTCTTCCACGTATGCCATTAGGGAAACAGGTGAGGCACAGACTGGCATGAAGAGTATGCTAGCAGCTGCTGAAAAATACTATGGGTTCATATGTGCATTTATGAGAAAGATAAGCTTCAAGAAAGATAACCAAGAAGATAGTAACAGGGTTATCTCTAGAGAAGGGAACCGGGAGATGCTGGGCAGAAGGGGAAGAAGAGTTACTATACACTACCTGAGACTCTGTCACTTCCAACTTTCGTGCCATGTGCACGTATTAATAAATAAAGAGGAAAGGACTTCAAGTAACTGCTCTAGCTCTACCATCATTATGCACGGACACATGCAACAGATATTAAAGGTCAGCGTCAATTATACACTTTCTATTCCTGTAAGTATCCATTCTCTTCAAACGCCCCAGGTGGTTTTGATGCAAAAGGAGGATGATCTCCACATCCAGAACACACAAGAAACTCACCAGCCTCCCTCCTCGCTTCGGTTTTGAAAGCATTCCTCCTCAAAACTACCTTCCATACCTGAGAAATGTACAGTCTTGATTCTGGAACCACCACCACCCTGAAGCTCCACACTTGGGCAAGTGGAATCCTTTGGAAGGTGCACGGCACGATCGACCGCAAGGGACCCGGGGGCACCTACACTTTTAATAGTGCCTTAAAGCACTATCAGCTGGGACCGTGCATCACAAAG